GTCTTGTTTTCTCCTTCTTCTCTCCCGCCGATCCCACTCGGTCCCCATTGTCGCCCCCTAATGGTGCCATGACCAGGCTGACGACTGGGTTCCTTGCTGGATCAACAGTTGATCGGAAGGGTGCTTGGTTCGATTTGGTCTCTCTCCCTTCTCTCCCCCGCTCCGTCGGTCACCGTTTTATGCCCCCTAATGGTGCTATGACCAGGCTGACATCGGTTTCCTCCCTTGCAGGTTTCAGTCGTTCGATCGGTCGTGTCTATGTTTTGTTTCTCCGCCTCTTCGACTCCTGCTCTTCCTCTTCTCCTCCTCACTGTCTTCTTGCTTCAACCTTTCCGCTTGCCATTTGAAAAACGCGCCATGTCTCCGCCATCTTGCTTGTTGCCGCGTGTCTCCGCTTCACCCTTAGGCTACGTCGTTAGGGCAGCTCTCCATGCGTTTGCGGCGATCCTTCCTCGGCCATCTTGCTTGTTGCTGCGTGCCTCCGCTTCATCCTTAGGCTTCGTCCCTAAGGGCTGCTCTCCATGTGCTTGCAGCGTTCCTTCCTCCGTCATGTTGGATGTTTGCGAACCGGCCTTTACTCTCTACGCTTTCCCTCGCGCTGAGATGCCCACGTGTTCGTTCGATATATCGAATCGAAGTTTGCTCGACCGACGCTATTATTTATTTACTATCAAATCATGAAAATACGAAAATAGCCAAAACTAATCACCGCGTGCATTCAATATGCCTCATTCGCCCTTTCCCGCACTCTAAATCCCTACTGACATTTACATTATTTAATTTATTTAATTTCTGCGACTTTCTCTCGCAACTTTGACATGTCGCACGACCACGTGTTCGCGCAAGTCCTTTTTCGAGGGCAACTATTCCGTGGTTGGCCCGAACACTCGTTTCCCCGCTCTCGACTTCTCATGGGTTTGCACCTCATGCTTTCCCTCGCGTCGCGTGGAGTCTCGCGTCGCGAGGGGGTAGCCATAACCGGAATTTCGTTTTTTATTTATAACTTCATCTATTCCACTTCCGATTTTCACAAAATTTCACCGCTCACTTCCCCCGAGGTTTCTTCTCACTTCACAACATTATTTACCACACTTTTACAACTTTTTCCCACCAAAACTGGATTTTAACGCGGAGCGACCCCCAAACACGCGCGCTTGCCACGACAGCCAGCCGTGCATCTGTATCCTCATATACTTGCCTAATCTGAGCGCCCCCTTATGCAGGTTTGACACAGCGCCATCTAGCAGTGATACGCGGAACTACAATAGAAGCTTCGCTGATGTTATATTACAGTTGAATTGTAATTAATTAATTACTTGGGCTAATGACCATGGCAGTCGATGCCCATAACACTAATCATCATCATCATCAATTAATTACCTACAGAATCCGGTCGGTACTTCACACGTGTTCATCATAGTTCGGCAGTTAGCTGTTGGATGGCGCTGTTAACAGCATTTGTGGCGGGTTTTTTAGAAGATTGTTTCCTTTTTTCTTGATGTATTGTAGTTATATGCATATCATTTTCAATAATTCCTATACTCTATGGTGATCATGAGTAATCGGTCAAGAGGAGTTCTGTTATCAAAGTCGTCGATCAACAAGAATTCTATTTGCACTTGTGAATAAATGATTAATGTTTAAAGCTATCATCGTTTGATCGTATTCAATTTTATTTTAAAAACAAGACCGTTCGCTATTCGTTCTATAATCAAACCTTAATTCAAGAACACGTGTTAAAATGAAATTCAGAATCAAGTCCAATAAAATCAGTTATTTTGCAAAGTTATTAATTTATTGATTATTAAAATATATGAAGACAGTTCCTATGTAAATGAGCGACCAGAGTCGCCCAGAAATGTATAGTCGTGCCATCTAGTTTTAGTTAGGTTAAGTTTTCCTTATAGTCACTAGTTTGTAAATTTTGTATATAGTAGTTGGTAAGCTTGGTAAAAGACGGTGCGCCCCCAACCTTCTCGAAAGTCGGGAAAAAACAAGAGAATAAAACGAACACGCGTCGTGTACAGAGGTGTCGAATAAAAAGTCTCCGGATAATCGTAAAACAGTCTAATTTATTCTCTCCCACTGAGCAAGTACGCCACATAAACGGTACATGTAGCGTCATCTAGCGCTGGAGTACGCGAACTAACGAAAGCCGTGTTCCCACCGAGTGTAGTTCACCCCGTTCGCCGGACAGATGGCGCCACTTGTTTTCGAAAAATAAAAATTGCTCCAATTTAAAAACTAATTACGTCATCATTACGAGTGATCAATTTGACTTTTCTGGGTTAAGCCTTTTTGTAAAAAATTTACTGCGCATGTCTGTCTTTTACGATTTAGGACTGCGCAGGGGGTCAAGGTTTTCATGAGATGATCGCGGATTCTGTGCAACGAATTTTCGAAAAATCAAAATTGCTCCAATTTAGAAACTAATTACGACATCATTAAGAGTAGTCCACTTGACTTCTCTGGGTTAGCTGTTTTGTATAAGAGCTATATTAAATATTACACAGGAAGATAAATTCACTATAGATTAAAAATACAAAAACTTCAATAACTTGAATATAATTACTAGTTAATCAAATCATTTTAAACAAAATGTATTTTCGCGCCTCATTAATATGATACTAGTATACTTTCTATAAACTAGCAATATTCTAAAGCCATTTAAACTGCGAGATAAGATTCTTTTGTATGTAAACGTATGGAATATAATACTGCTCCTAAATACTCAATATTGTATTTTTTGTTCGAACAGAAAAAGTATAATGTGACGAAGTGTAAATGACACTTTAAAGTCAAAAAGTCTGAAACCTACTTTAAAAGACGAAGGAGTTTCCTTCTTAGTATGGGAATGCATCTCGAACGTAAACGAAAGTATCAACGAATGTAAACAAACAGTAACACATCGTTGAAACAATCTCACTGCAAGAAAAAACTTTTATTTTTAATTGTTTTCTTACGAAATTTTTATTAACATATTCGTGACATTTTCCTGATTAAAATAAGACCAAACATGATATAATTTCAAACATATTTACTTGTGCTTTTAAGTATTTTTTTTAGATCGAACACTATTGCAGTGAGATTCGCGGTAAACGGACGAGTAATGACACGTCGGGTAATTCCGTTTGTCTTCGCTGCTATTCGGATAATCACGTGACAGTCGAATTCGTAGACTTCTATGGCTTTGTGACTTTAAAGATTTTATTTTTGTAAGTTATTATAAATAAATATGCCTCAAATTACGTTGTGTGTGGTCCCATTTTGATTAGGAAAGCATCACAAATATTTTGGTACGAGTTGTATAAAAAATGGACTGAAAATAAAGAAGTTAGCAACGCGTTAGAATTGTGAATAATACAACAGACTTTTGATCCTTGCCGGCTGCCATAATCGCATCTCGCTGTTCTCCTGCGTTCGAAACCTATCGTCAATTAAACAAGCAAACATAGTTTAAATTATATCGTGTTTGGTATCATTTTAATTGAAAAAATGTCAAAAACCTGTTAATCAAAGTTTGATTACGAAAAAGTCAAAAATAAAGAAGTTTTACATTTACATTATTATTGGCTTACGGATATACTGGAACTAAGATCATGTTACATTTCTTGGCGTCTCGAGGAGCCTTCCCCCAGTGATAAAGATAATTTTTTTCGGTTATATCGTACACACCATTCCTGCCTATGTGCAGACTTTTTTTTGCTACAGTATCCGAATATTAATATAACTGTAGGTGTATCACTTGTAACACACGTGTGTAGGTGTATCAAAAGTGTTCCTAGGTCTAACCACATGTGCAAATGGCGGGGAATTTCGAAACGGTACAACAACCCTAACCACTTTTTTCCTCTGAAATCAGTTTTACCTCTGTTCCAGCTAAATCGCGTATCATCGTGCGTGTAAACCACGCCTTAATCCTTAGCTCTCGGGGATGTGGTGGTGGTAGCCAAGTTTTTCGGCAGTAGCGAACCGTGCTGTGTCGCGCGAGTATTATTCGTTCGCGCCAACGCATTCGAGTCGGTCGCTTCGGCAGTGCGACGACACATCGCGAACACATCATCGTGTAAACTCGGACAGAACTTTTTTCCGATTTAAAATCATCACCGGAATATCGATTAAAAAAGGCAAGATCTCTTCTTCGCTGATAATTTACTGAACCACGAGGTGTTGCCGAAACAAAAAAAGGCCATTGTTTAAACTGTCACGCTTCCTGGATTCGATAAAAGAACCACCTAGACGGTTTTCACCTACATAATCGTTCGGCTACCGATATTGGGACCCTGATCACGCGCACACCGGTAAGTATCTTGCGGTACTGATTGCACGATGCTTTACGAGCCACATATTTAATTTCACCATAAAGAAAGGACGCGCGTTTGCGTACGCTCGGGTGCAACGTTGGTTTCCTTCGACTTGAGAGCAAATGTAAGGGAAGAAATTTATTGCAATTTTGGGAGAATAGATTTGTATTTTGCGAAATTAGAATTTTATCAGTTTCTTTGTTAATAAATCAAATAGTAAATTTTCAAGTTTCAAATACAGAAATTTTGAAATTTAAAAATTTTTGATTTCTTCAGTTTTCAAATTTACAAACTCCCAAATTCTGAAATTCTGAAATTCTTAAATCCTCAAATCCTCAAATCCTCAAACTTTCAAACTTTAAAATTTCTACATATTCAAGTTTTCAAATTTTATAAGTAAATAATTTGCAAATTTCCAAATTTATAAATTTTCAAATCTATAGAATACTAAATTTTCAAATCTACAGAGTACTAAATTTCCAAATTCCCAAATTTTCAAATACATTAATTTTGAAATTCCCAGATATTCAAATGTTCAAAGTCAAAAATTAAAATATTTGCAAATTTATAAATTTTCAAATCTACAGAATACTAAATTTCCAAATTCCCAAATTTTCAAATTTCCAAATTTACAGATTTATAAATTCACAGATTTTCATATTTTTAAATTTTCAAATTTCAAATTTACAAATTTTCAAATTTTTGAATTTTCAAATATTCAAATTCCAAAATGACAAATTTACAGTTCTCAAAATTTCAAATTGACAAATTTACTAATTTAAAAATTCCAAATTTCACATTTACAGATTTATAAATCCCAAAATTAAAAAATTTCAAATTTCCAAATTTCGAATCCCCAGTTCCTCAATCTTAAATTTCCAAACTTCTAAATTATAAAGTCTAAAAATAATCAACTTGACAAATGTTCATGATTTTCAGTCTGTAGCAAACATTTTCCAATCTTCTCTAGGGGAAACCAAAACTGCCTAGTGTACGTTTATAATGTACGCTTTCAGTGAGGGTAACGAAACTGATGTGAAGGTGGAAGCTGAAACTTAACATATTCTATTCGTAAAAATAAAAAAGTTTATATCAACACTGGCTTTCAGACACTTAAAAAAAATTATAACAAAAACACGAAATGGTAATGAACTGTGCTCGATATACAGGGTGTTTCAGTTTTTTTGCTATAACTTTACTACAATATACAGGGTGTTTCAGTTTCGTTCCTATAAGTTTACTAGAACATGCAGGGTGTTTCAGTTTTGTTCTTATAACTTTACTAGAACATACAGGGTGTTTGAGTTTTGTTCTTATAACTTTACTAGAACATACAGGGTGTTTCAGTTTTGTTCCTACAACTTTGCTAAAACATACAAGGTGTTTCAATTTTGTTCCTATAGTTTTACTAGAACATGCAGGGTGTTTCAGTTTTGTTGCTATAACTTTACTAGAACATACAAGGTGTTTCAGTTTTGTTCTTATAACTTTATTACAACATTGCATAAATAAAAATAAGAAAAAATGTTTATACATAGACCTTAGACTGCGTTATTAAAAATTATTAAAAAAAAAAAGAATATGAAAATCGTGAATTATTCGTACGTAATATTGAAGGCGAAAATCAATTATTTCGTTAATTATAACATTCCTCGCGATCTCTCGATAAAACAGCCTATATTTATACAACATTTATCATTTTTATTCGCAGAACATGATGGTAAAGTTTCACGCAGAGAACTGGGACATACTGCATGTGGCATCGAATAATAAATTGCAACTCTGTCGAGGTTAATTAATTAGAAAATTTGTTATCGTGTTCCTTACGAGATTTTAAATGGAATTTTTATTACAGCTTTAACAATGACAGTTTTTGATTACTGAACTGTCGAATATGTTTTGCATCTGTTTATAAATTCGGGTCACTAGTATTCTCCATACATTATCAATGAAATTTTATATCCGGAGAACGTGTCGGCCATTTTAAAATTTGGGTATTGTGATCTTTAAGTCATATTGTGTAGTTGCACTGCTGTGAATGGGAGCATTATCCTTTTACAATGCGATTTCATTATTTTCTGGAAGATAAGAAAACAAACGTAACTCTAAAATTAATTTTTGATTTTCATTAGTCATTCTTGTAATTGAGACTATTTAGGATATTCTGAAACTTCATTATTTACAATGAAATTAAAAAATTGAGGTTAAAAATTTAAGTTGTGTTTGGGAAGTCTGGTAGGATTAATAGTCTAAAAATTTAGATAATTCACAAGGTTATAATGTTATCAACAATTTTGATAATTCACTTGAAAAAGTGAGAAATTTTTTAATTTTAATTGTGAACAAGAAATATAGAAATTTAGGAATTTAACAGAAATGCAATCTGGAAATGTGAACTTTTGAAGACTTAGAAAGAGAATTTGGAAACTTCAGAAATTGAAGATTTGGCAATTTAAAAATTTATATTTTTAGAATTCGAAATTTGAGATTTATGAATTTTGAAATTTGGATACTTATCGAAGTTGGCAGTTAGAAATTTGGAATTTTTAAATTTATATTTACAAATTTGCAAATTTAGAAATTTTACAAGGTTATAATGTTTAAGAAATTGGAAATTTCTGCACTTTTATTATAAACTTATCATAGTGAATTATACACAAATTATTAATAGCAATTATATAACTTAAAGGAGAAAAAATTGGAAAGTGATCGAGGGAGGTTTATTCTTGTCACAATTTTCAAATTCCTATTCAGCTACTTTAGAATAAACGTATTTTAACATTGACATAACTCTGACTTAATCCGTCACACAACTGATCCTAACGTAATCTGAATATAACCTCTACCGAACTTGAATTTGAACCTGTCATAATCTAACACTAAGAGAATTATAAGCTAATTACAGTTCAACCGTGACAGATTGTTAACCTAACTTCATGTAACTTGGACATTAACCTAATCTTAAACTGTTAATTTAATTTTGACTGTGATGCTATGAACTTAACATTAAGTATCTATTAACTTAACTACAATTCAATGTTAATTTAACCTAACTTTAATTACAAAAATTTAACCTGAATTTAATTATAACCTTAGTCTCACAGTAAACTAACCTCAACTTTAATTGTAAGCTAAAACTAACCTCAACTTAAATTGTAAGTTACAATTTAACTACAACTTTAACTCAAAATTAACCTTAATCTTGATCTTAATTTAATAGTAATTGAACGTAATTTTAATCTAAAACGTAACTTAACTATAATCTTAGTTTATTCTAATAATAATGGTCTGCCTTTAATATTATCTTTATCTAACCTTAACCAAATTTTTACCTAATTTAAACTTAACCGAAACACAACTGAAACCTGAAATAAACCTAATCTTAACTCAAAGATTTTAATTTTAACATTCTAACACAAATTAACTTAACTTTAACCTTAAATTTGATGTAACGCTAATCTCAGTATTATCTTACTGTAATTTCAAACGAACCTTATCCTAACCTAATCTTAACTTAGTCACAGTATTCACCGACCCTAAAGCCAACCTCAATCTTAACCTAATCATTTTCTAAACGTAACCTATTTTCCAATGTGATTCAATTTTGATTCAACCTAACTAAATTTGACATTTATTCACTAAAATCTTTATAGCTCAAGATGGAAATACTAGCAATATATTAAAAATATACTTACATGATCTAATTTAGTCAGCCATTGATATATTCACGTCACTACTCATAATAATAAGCTTAAATTATGTGAAATATCATTAATATTCAAAACCACCAGGACACAATTCAGTTAATTGTAATGGAGTAACAATTTATTAACAAAAACTATTCTTGTCACAATCCAATAATAAAATTACGAATGTTAAAAGTACACTTAGTAAATAATGAATTATACGAATGGGTAAAATAAGTGGAAAACCACTCAGACGCCATTTTTTTTATAAAGAGAACAATAAACTGAACTGAACTGAATTTTATAGCAGTGTTAATTACTACTAAATACTGAATTAAAGTAGCATTAGTTACTGGTAAATATTGAAATAAAGAAGTAGTATACAGTATTAAAGTAAATGCTGAATTCGAATCATATTAATTAATAGTAAATATTGAATTGAGATTGTATTAAATACTACTAAATACTGAAGCATCAACACAGACTAAAATAAATATATTTATATACATTTCACATACACATTATTTTCGTTGCACTCTCACAATACTCACAAAAACGCTATATTAGAATAGTATTAATTAATAGTAAATACTGAATTGAAGTTGTTTAAATATTACTAAATACTGAAGCATCAACACAGACTAAAATAAATATATTTATATACATTTCACATACACATTATTTTCGTTGCACTCTCACAATAGTCACAAAAACGCTATATTAGAATAGTATTAATTAATAATAAATATTGAATTGAAGTTGCATTAAATACTACTAAATACTGAAGCATCAACACAGACTAAAATAAATATATTTATACACATTTCACATACACATTATTTTCGTTGCACTCTCACAATGCTCACAAAAACGCTATATTAAAATAGTATTAATTAATAATAAATATTGAATTGAAGTTGCATTAAATACTACTAAATACTGAAGCATCAACACAGACTAAAATAAATATATTTATACACATTATTATTGTTGCACTCTTACTCACAAAAACGCTTTACACTGTATTAATTCGCAATTTACTTTTGAATTTAATTTAATTTAATTTTAACTAGTACTAACATTACCAGCAGTAGTCAACCAGCATTTGACGCTCGTTGCAAACGCTCCTTGCACCATAAACGTTATTCAAACAAGATTTACAGTCGATTATAGTATTCCTACTTTTCTCCCGACCTTGACGATGACCTTGACTGAAGAGAATCATACCTTTCTCTCGAGATTTGCTATTTTATTGTTGCTTTGATATTTTCCTGCAGAACTCGAGTAGATATTTTGTGCGTTAAACGTTGA